CAGTTTCCTGAAACCTGGCTTCACCCATGAAAGTAAAGGTTTCCTAAATTCCAGCTGCAAGTTTGAAAATTCAAATATATAACTCTCAGTACTACCTCCCTGCCATGTGTTTTGCCTGTTAAACCAGTATTTTTATAAAGACTCCAGAGACAAATTCAAAATTACGTGGCTTCATTTTACAGTGCCATATAACCCGCACCATACTGTTAATGAAACAGCACGATTACAATAGAATTTTAATTTATATTATTGTAATAAAAAGGTTTAGAGTTGCCAGAAATCCCTCCCACACCAACAATGATGAGCCAGCCCTCAGGTATTCCGGATTCCTGCTTATTTTTATTCTAAGCTTTCAGGAAAAAAAAAAGTAGTAATATAATATTACACAGCAAGATTTATTGCGCAAACAACACAGCAACCTAAAAATAAATTCTGCATAATCTATCTTCCTACAAAATGAAAGCACTGAAAATGAGAAAGAAAATTTGAGGTTTATTCTGGATTTATTATAGGAACACAAACCTAGGTAGCACTTGTCGTTAGCATATGGTTCATGAGAAGAGGAAAAGCAAAGTTTAATGATGTCACACTTCAGGTATACATATCAGAATCTGTCATTTGAATTTGCTAATGGAATAAACAGGACAAAACCTCAGAACTGGCCTAAAAGCTTAATGAAAATATTAACAAATCAAGAACCAGACCAAAAAGTGAAGGCACCAAGACCGTCTCCAGATATCCCTGCAGAACACTGCTGAACAAGCCGCACCATCCAACAACCCCCTCCCAAATGCCTCCATATGAAATGGAATTTGGAGACTTTCCAGTTTCTTTTGACAGTCTTATTACCCTTAGAACAGCTGCTGTTGTTTAAAACCTGTTGAAACCTAGCTTGTAATCACTAACACCACAGAAGCAGCCCTTGTTTTACTTATTTAGGTACTGCTTGAGCTCACACACATGCTGCTGGCCAATGAGCCCCCAGTTTAATCACACTGGACAATAAATATATTTATCTTTAGGTTAAAGAGGTGATCTGGGTGGGCCAGCACCATGCTCTTTGGGTCTCCCTGATAAAAATTCAAGCCTCCACGTGCACGTCTCCAACTCTGAAATCTCAGCTAATTACCCCAACGACGTTACAGCCCTCCAAGCAAGCCAAAAGTTTAGCAAGTCTGAATACTAACCCTGCTGCACGTTTTCCAAATGCAGAAGGGGTCATTCCAGTAACTTAGACCCAAGTTTGGCCCATTTTGCAAACTGTTCTGCTTGGGTGCAACAATCAGCTGGACAGTATCTAGGTTTGCTCTTGCGATCCATCCCCTCTACTGAAATCCCCTAAATTTTGTAGGGACATTAAGTAGTATTTTGGGCTCACATACTCCCTCTACCGGCTCCCTGCGAGCCACTAATTAAAATTACTCTTGCCTGAACTTTTTCTAGCAAAACAAATAATCATGATTCATTTCAAAACAAAGGTAAAGCTGCATGCTAGCCAGAAAAGAAGAGCGATCCCTGAACAAGCAATTAAAAGGCTTTGAGACTTGAAAATAGAGGATTTCACAAGAAAACATGCAGATGCTTCTCCCGTTGTAACATACACTGTCTGTGGATAAACAGTTTGCACAGCAGCTGTCTGGATAAAAACATCCGATGCGATTTTCGGTACCTACCCAAACCTGCCTGCGATGATTCATCAGCAAGAACTCCTGCTCAATAATGCCAAGTGAACACCCGGCAGCAGATCCTGGAAATAATTGTCACCTCCCCTCTTTCGTTAAGATAGCACAGCAGGTCTGGAGCTCATGGGCAGCAGTTGGAAAGCTGCAGTTTAATTAAATTACTTTTGAGGACAGCCTGTAAAAATGACACAGTATTCCTTAGTTTCTACAGAAATCTCTTAAACCCACCAAAGCCACCGAAATTGGTTAATCTGTTTAAGGGTTTCAGGCAAACAAAGGCAAATTTAGAGCTGAACCACAAGGACAACGCATGCTACTGAGCTAAAAACCAGTCTAGTTTTGACTGCATGAAAATTAGGTCTGAAAACACAACTCAGAAACACCGGGTTCGTATTTACATTTCCATACAGCCCAGTGCCCATCTCTCAGTCCAGACAGCCCAGATAACCTGCTCAGGCAACATAATTACATGTAAAGCATGGAAATATCTTAGAGAAGGGTTTGCTAACAAAACTAGGAGGTACCCAAACATGTTGGGTGACTTCATTCCTGATTTTTTAACAGACTGTGTTAGATGCTTATTCAGTGTGGTTGGGATTATTATTTTTTTTTTTTTAATAAACTCTTTTCTTTGCACAGTGTAACCTGATGAATCCAAACAGCTGCTCCCAGCACAATTCCCACTAAACTGCTGCCCACACGGAGGAAACCACAGTCCCCGAGGTGCCCACGTGTCAAGCAAACACAGCCACAGGAAAGCAGCCCGCGGCAAGTGTCAGAGTCCGACCCGGCGCACAGCTTCCTTGGCTGGGAAAGCCCTGGATCGCATCCACCTCCTCCAGCTCAGCCGGCACACAGGCAGCTCGGGAAGCAGCAAAATGTCATTTCCTACCGATGTGGCGCTCATGGGTGAGCTGCTGCTGCCATTGCATGGGGGGGGCTGGACCTTCTGCCTCCCAGGTAGCTCCTCTGGTCTCCAGAACTTGGAGCTTTCTGGCCTTTGGTGGGGTCTCTCCTCTCCCTTTCCCACCCTGTGAAACTTGGGGGAACTCAGAATCTTTGAGACCTTTATCTTTTTGTTGAATCAGGCAGAAAGGGGCAACAGGATCAGGAACTGGCATGAGAGGGAAAGCAAACTGCATAAGCCTTGTTTCCAAAAAAACCGACCCTGGCAAAAGCCCATTGAGAGACAGAGGCACACCGCTCCACATAACTTCCTTCAGAAACTACCAGTACTTCAAGAGACTTAAATGATCAGTGTCAATACCCACGCTGCAATGCCGGCCATCAGGCAATCTCTGGTTGCTTTAAGCACTGGGACAACCAGTCAAGATTTAGGTTTCCAACATCGCTGCAAAATTCAGGCTTAACGTTTCGCTGGGGGGAATGAAGAATGAAGTTCTAGTGCTCGGGAAAATTACCTTACGCAAACGCTAGGTTAAGGTCAGGGTTTACCAGCGGGGCAACTTGTCACACACACGCTCACGTTCAAACCTCTGCTTCCCCCCCACAACGTGGTCTTTGGCTTAGCACACACACACGAAGGAGGAGAGGTGGGGAAGAATTTAATGTTTGCAATACAGCAAAGTTACTTTGCAGTCTAGATTTACAAACTGTAACGCTCCTCTACTGACTAAGAAATACAAGTCACAAGCAACCCTGCGACACTTCGTTTGAAGTGAAGATGAGCTCAAGGGTACTAGCTTTCAGGCCAAAAAAAGAATGCACTGGAAAAAACCATGTATTAATGTAGGCTCAGTAGCCAAGTTTTAATTTAAATCGATATCCACAGCTTTCAGACAGACTGCTGACTTGGCAGTGGTTCGCTGATGCAATGTTTTTATCTTTGTTAGCAAGCAGGGTACCAAGATATCTAATACCATCTCAATACGGACATTATCAGCATATGAGCACTGCAAACGATGCTCTCCTGATCTTAACTCCCAGCAGATGAGCTGCTCGGCTGTAATGCTTACTGTGTGTCTAACACAATAAAAGTACGTTTTTTGTGACGTCCACTTGCCTAATCACATCAAATAAATTTGTACGCCACCTCCAAACTAGTTTGTGTAATTCCCGGTGCAAAGACTTTGATGAAAGCTGCCAGCTACAGAGTTAAC